GGGGGGGGGGGGGGGGGGGGGGGGGGGAGGTGCTCAGGCTGGAGCAGCGCCCTCTAGAGGCAGAGAGGACACCGGCCGCTAGAGGGCGCGCTGAGCCGGGCCTGGGCCTCGCCCCAGCAGCTTCCGGGCTGCTCCGCCCTCCCCCGCCCTCCCCGGATGCAGAGCTTGTCCCGACTTGGCTCTGACCGGACAGCCTGTAGAAATGGCAGGTCTCCTGGCTAGTGTGATTGGGGCCGAGGAAGAGACTGGAAGCCAAGCCAGGACCGGAGTGGTGGTGGGGGGGGGGGGGGGGGGGGGGGGGGGGGGGGGGGGGGGGGGGGGGGGGAGGATCCTGAGAACCCCAGGCAAGACCCTGCACCCCCTCATCAGCCTACTTCCTGCCCCGAGCTGGACCCGTCCGTCTCACCACAAATCTGTGCACCTCCAGTGCGCCCACTGTTCCCTGACCTCCCCGGCTCTGCCGTGCCTTTCTGGTGTCCCGCCCACCTAGGAGACGTTCAGCTGCAATGTCTAGCAGGCCGGCTCCCGCTCATCCCTCACACCCTCTCTCCACCCATGACCCGCCTTCCTTGCCAGCCCCGGGGGAGTCCCCGCTTGCCTTCCCTACTTCCTCAGCACAGCTCGCTGGCACTGAGGGAGGGATCCTTGTGATGGCTTCTTTCCAGATGCGGAGGCAGAGGCAGAGAGAGCAGGAGTAGCTGCCCAGACCACACAGCTGGCCGGCCGCGCGGCAAGGTCCCGCGCCACTCTGTGTCACAGCCCCTGGCATGGGGGCTCCCCCCAGCTCTCACCTGGAGGAGCTTGAGGTCCGGAAGGCCAGAAGGCACCCTGGACAGCTTGTTATTGTCCAAGTGCAGCTCCCGCAGGGTGGGCAGAAAACTTAGGCTCCCGTTCTCGATCATGCGGATCTGGTTGTGGCCCAGGCCCAACCTGCGAAGGGCGCATGACATGTACCGAGACGCTGGGGGAGAAAAGAGCAGTGGGGCAGGGCACCCCACGGGGACCCGCAGCCCACCTGTACAGCTTGGAGTAGCGGAGCAGGTCCTCCAGCTCGATGGCCTGGATTTTGTTGTGGTCCAGATGGAGTTCGTTCAGGGTCTCGGGGAGGTCTGCGAGGAAAAGAGGGTGCTCTGAGTTGAATGCGGGAGGGGAGGCCATGTGTGCGGGCTGGGTCTGTATGTGGGGGGGGGGCGCAGATGGGAACAGAGGGCTACCAAAGCCCTCCCTGAGTTGACTGGTGGCTCCACATGTCCCCGGATTCCCCCATCTGTGCCCATCTGTGCCATGGAGGCTGGACAGCATGGGGGAAAAGGTCTGTCTTCCTACCTTTGGGGATGCCCGTGAGCTTGGCCTCAGAGATGCGCAGGTAGTTGAGCTTCAGGCCATCGAAGGCTCCAGGCTCAAAGCCACTGTTCTCCAGCGGGTTCCCGCCCATCTCTAGGAGAGACGCCCCCCACTCAGCCCTGACGCCAGAGCCGGGTGGCTGCGCGCACAGCCCCAGGTCCTGACTTGGGCTGGCCTGATGGGTCCTGCTCCCCCATCTACCCCTGAAAGCAGCTCCAGTGATTTACTGGGCTAATTGCAAACTCCTGGCTGTTCAAGACCATCAGCTCCCAAGGGCGTTGGCCCAGGCATTGGCCTCAGGGGGTAAGGGGAGCAGGAGGAAAAGAAGGGGAGCCAGAGATCAAGGTGGGGCTCCACCGCAGCCCACTCAGCTCCTCTGGCCTGGCCTCTGGTGGCCCCTGGCTGGCTGGCTGGCTGCACTAGCCCTTTCCCTTCCCTCCCTCTACGGTCCCCGGGTCTCTCTTCATCTCGCCTTGGCAGCTCTGGGGCATGTCCCCAGACAAGCTTCCAGAATGTCCTGTGAGGCCCACCAGGCTTGTCCATGGCACCCAGCCCCTCCGGCTGCAAGAGGCCCCTCTCCCTGAGCCTTTCCTGCTGGCCACAGGGTGACAACTGACACAGGCCGTGCCACACTCACCGATGCAGTTCATGTTGCGCAGCCCGCTAAACACGCCCTTTGGCACCTTGCGGATGCGGTTGTCATGGATGCGGAGCTCCACCAGGGAGCTGGGCAGGTTGGGAGGGATCTCCACCAGGTGGTTCTTGGAGATATAGAGCTTCTGCAGCTTCCGCAGGGGGCTGAAGGCCTTCTCGTGGATCTTGGAGATCTTGTTGTTCACCAGGACAAGAGCCTGGGGCAGGGGGGCGTGGGAAGTAAAGGCACAAGCTCCCCGCCCTGCCCTCATCTCTTCCTCCCTCCCTTGCCGCCCGAGCTGGTGATCGGTGGGGCTGCCAGTGAGGCCTCGAGGAGGAGCGATTCTGCCCCGTGCTTACAGCTGCAGACATCCGCACATGTGACCCGTGACCTGGGGCGCTCCCACCAAGCCCGCCTCCAGACTTCTCGCAGGACTCTGTGGGTCCCCAGTCCCCTCTCGCACCCGACACATACGTGTGCACACCCACAAGCACCCAACTCCTCAGCTGCACACTGCCCACCTCCTCGCAGCGCCTCAGAAGGGCCAGGGTGGGCTTACGTAAAGGTGCTGGAGGCCCTTGAAGTCATCCTTGCGGAGCTCGGAGATGTCATTGTTCTGCAGGTCCAGAAGCGTTGTGTCGGGGGAGATCTCCTTGGGCACAGATTTCAGACCTGGGGGCCGGGGCCGCGGTCATCAGTGTGAGCCCCAGCCCCAGAGCAGCTCAGAGTGCGGGGACACGGGCGCCCACGGACACCCACACAAGGCCTCCACCGTAGACCAGGGCCCTCCTTACTCCCTGCTCTGTTGCAAACGAACAGCTGGACAGCTTTCCGCGCTGAAACCAGGAGTCCCCGGACCCTGTGTGGGGTCACCCCATCCCCGACCCCACCCTTTCACGCCCATCCCATGGGACACACACGTGTCTCCTTGGTAGGGCGCTCAGGCCGGGCCTGCGCCTTCATGCACCCGTCCCACCCTGGGCCCGGGACTGACCCAGGTCGGAGCACTGAACGACCCGCAGGTGGCAGTGGCAGCCAAAAGGACACATGGCGCTGAAGGTGGGCGTGAGGGAGTCCAGGTCCGGGACACCTGAAGTCGTCTCGGCACCTGAAGCCTCCTCATCATTCAGCATGGGCAGCCCGTCGTCCAGGGTGAAGTCCCAGAAGCCCTTCTGCTCAAACGGCAGGGCCTGGCTCAGGGCCAGCAGGGATGCGAGGAGCCACAGGGGCCACATGGTGGGCATGCCTAGGAGGCCGGGGTGAGGAGGGGCTGTCAGGAGGGCCCAGCCACCACTGGTCTCTGCCCTCGGGGCCCCCTCCTGGCAAACCTCCAAATACCAGGGGCTGAGCTTTTGCATGTGATGGCACCGCGTTCGCCATCCCTCACTGCGGACGGGCAGACCCCAGGGTGGGAGTGGCAGGGAAGGAGGCGGCAGAGGGAGGGGGTGCGGGCAGGCAGGAGACACCTCCCTCTGCTCCCCTCTGATCGCAGGCAGGCCTGCGGGGTTCACGGGCAGTGCATCGCCTTGCCAGTTAGCGAGTCTGCAGCACTAACCCCCTCCTCTGCAGTCTTCCACGCACCACTGAGTCAGCTGGCAGCCTGCCGGGAGGGGGGGTGGTGGGGGGTTCCGGGAGGCTAGTGGAGCGAGTAGAGGAGGCAGAGAGGGAAGGGCAACCATTTGCCTCCTACAGGCTTTGAAGACTTTGGATTTGAATGTACTGCTGTGGCCACGGCCAATCCCGCATGCTCAGGGCAATGTGGGCGCAGTCGGGATGGAGTTAGACCACCATGAGTCACTTCCTTTCCTGCCTCAGCTCCCCCTTGCAGCACGTCCACATTTTTCAAAGAGAGTCAAGAGGCCAAGAGGCCAGGCTGGGCACGCTGGGCTGACACCTGGGCTAGCCCCGGAAGGCCGTGTGGAGAAAGAGAGGAGCGTCCTCCCTGGCAGGGGCGAAACCGCTGAGGTGGAGGGGGTGCGGCCCCCCCCCCATTGCTCCCCGGGGCCCCAGCACCCTCTCCTGGCCCACAAGACTTCCCCTGGCTTGGCCTGCAGAGCCCCAGGGCTCCCACATCTGCTCCTGCCTTCCTTCTGCCTGTGGCCCAGCCCCCTGGAGAGGCCACCAGAGGGGAGCAGGCTGCCGCTGGGTGGCAGGCAGGATCAGGCTTGTCTGAAGGCTCCCCCAGGCCAGGCAGCGGGGTGGGCGTGAGGGGGAGGCTGCCCTCTGCCCGAACCTGCCCCCAGGTGCCCATATTTACCCCCCTCCTCCCCTCTCCCATCCAGAAGTTCCTGTACAGGAAAAGGCCGGGGCCCCTGCCTCTCCCGCCGTCCTCACCAATTCACATTTCCCGGGAAAGTCCCAGCCGGGCTCATTTGCCCCATTCGTGAAACAGGCATGTGTGCCTGCCCTGCTTCCCTCCCAGGCTCCGGTGACTGAGGCTGCCCTGGGCGCATCTGTGGGCAGTGAGCCTGGCTGGCTTCCAGGGGCTTCCTGTAGCCCCCATTGGGCCCCACCCCCGGGAGTCCCTCCTTCACTTCGGGCCCGCTTTGGATGGGGGCGGGGCTGTCAGGGGCTTCAGTGGGTCTGGGTGACCCCTAAGCCCAACTGCTGGCTGCAAATGTGGAAGGAGTCCTCGGGGAGCGGAGCCCGCATCCTCTAGGCCGGCACCTTGTGCGCAGTGTGGCCCTGCCCGCCGCTTCCCTGGGCCAGCCCGGGCCCCTGCAGGCTCCCCTGGGCTCCTCCCACCGGCAGGCCAGGGGCCACCTCCAGGTCTGGGCACAACTGCTCTGAGCCTCGGCTTTCTATCCATCCCAGCCTCGCCAACCCCTTCCACACTCCTCAGGCCAGCCCCGAGGGGGTCATAGAGCGTGCCCTGGCTCCCGCCATCCCCGAGGACAGAGTGGGAGAGAAGCGTGCCGCCTTTCTGGCTGCCAGGGCTGCGGTGTGCTTGTCAGGCACAGGTCACAGACCCAGGACGTGGTTCAGTGGACTCAGCTGGGGAGTCAGCCCCGGAGCACCCGCAGCAGGTCCCAACAGCCCTCCTGAGGGCTGGCCCCCCAGTGATGAGCTCAGAGAAGCTGCCTGCCTGTCCCAGGTCACACAGCAGAGTGAGGATCCCCCATGTCGGGAGAGGACCCTGTCTCCCCGGCTCCTTTGGGCCTCAAGATCCCACGATCACGCCCCAGGTCCTGCCAGCCCCGGGCTGGCCGAGCAGGACCCAGGGGGAGCCCCCAGAGGGTCATGGGGCCGAGTAGGCAGAAGGCCCTGTGCTTGCCTACCTGGACGGTGTGTCCCTCCTTCTTCCCCTGATTCTGCAACCTCCGGGACACAGCAGGGTAGGCCGAGGCCTCGAGTGCCTGCTGCCGCTGCTTGGGGCCCTTGTCTGGGAGCCAGTGGATGCCCAGGGCTGGGAGGAGGGGGAGTGGTAGGAGAGAACAGGAAGGGGAGAACGGAGGCAGGAGAGCAAGATGGAATGGGAGAGAGGGAGGAGACTGTTCCCCTCTTGCCCGGCACCCCTGCCAAAGCTGCTACCTCACGGGGGGATGAGTCAGGGCTGGAACGCCCAGTGGGAGCCTTGGAAGGCTTTGGGATCCACGGTCCACCTGGACAGGTGGGGGTGGCTGGGGTGGTCGGGCCGGGTCCAGGGGCGGCTGTGAGGCAAAGTGGGCAGAAACAGGCCTCTTCTGGCCTGCGGGGGCTGAGAAGGGCTGGGGGTCTCCCCAGGGAGCCTCTGTCCTCCCGTGGCTGCCCCCCGCCCCCAGGGTAGAGGACAGGCAGGCGCTGGGAAGGCCCACCGGGGTGGGACTGGCCACCCAGGCTCCAAGTGGGCTCGTAGGACCCGTCCTGGGGCAATGGGGACTCTAGAGGAGATGAATCAGCTCAAACCGGCCGTGCTTGACATGGCTGCATCTGGGGGCCACAGAGAGGCCGAGGGAGGGGCCCTGGGCTCCAGCGCAGGCTCACTCTTGGCGGGGAGGGACCGAGGCCGAGGGTTTGGAGGTCCCACAGCAGGGCCCCGCGATAGAGGCAGAGGATGAGGTTTGGCCGGTTCTCCCCCGCCCCCACTCTTGGCCCGGCCCAGGCAGTGGACAGGCCGGCGGGGTGGGGGCTGGGCAGGCTTCCCAGCAGAGCCTCATTTCCACTCCCGGAGCTGGCACGAGACTCGGCGGGTAGAACTGCACAGGGAGCAGGGGGCCGGCCGGCCGGTGAACCCGAGGGGGTGTCCCCAAGGACTTCGGGGAGGGCCTTGAGCCCCATCGCGGTGTGCTTGGAGCTCGCCGGACCCCGCCCCTCAGGGCCAAGGAAAGAAGTGGTAATGGCGGTGAGGCCTCCGGCCCGGTGCCCACAGGTGTGAGCAAGGGAAAAGGCCGGGCTTCCCGGAGGCTGTGCCGCCAAACCAATAGGGCCTTCCTTGTCTAGCCCTCCGAAAGCCAGCACAGTCCTCGGAGCGCGACCGTTCCAGGTCAGCGCCAAACAAGAGGCGTTGGCGGCTTCTGAGAACATGGGGGTGCCGTGCCAGGCATTCAGGCCAGGCCAAGGGCGGCGGGAGCAGGACTTAAGGTCTGGCATGCCCTGGGAGCTTGCTTGCAGATGCGTGGCCCGCAGCTGCCAAGTCCTAGACGCCGGGCACTGTCCCGAGGCCTCAGCCCGGGGTGTCTGGCCCCACTGAGCAACCCGACCTGAACTCCGGCGTGCGTGCCACCGTCTCCCTAGCCCTGCCCCATCCCTAGGACTACGTGGATGGGGACGGGTGGGAGGGAGACGGGCTGAGCAGAGGGTACCCTCCCCCCTCCCCCCCCACCGCCCCTCTCCGTCCACCAAAGCCCTCAGGGCCCAGCTTCAAACAACAGGCCAGGGGCAGGGGCGCTGTCCACAACCGTATTGCGCAGGTGGGCACGGTGCGCAGGCTGACGCCCAGCTGCCCCTCGCTGCCCTCCCAGGCCCCAGCCTGCCACCCCCGACAGCATCTCATCTACACTTGGGTGCCAGCTATGGGTCTGCCGAAGCCTGCACGTGCACACGTATGCAGGGGTGACTGCGTGAGCGGCTGGTGGCTGGAGAGGGGCGGGGCGGGCCCTGAGCCCCACCCCATCTGTGTCCGCACCCCGGGCCACGCTGGGCCCTCCGCTATCGCCCCCGCATGCCCTCTAGGCTACAGCGCGAGCTGCTCCTTCCTGCCGTGGCCCCAGCACTGCTGGTGCGACTGGACAGAGCTGGGTCCTGTGCTCTGTCAGCCTTCAGGTACGGATTTGACCTGGATGTGGGGGTTGGAGGCCCCAGGGAGCCAGCCGGGAGCCAACCTATTGGCTGTGTGCAGAGCGCTGGTACCGGGGAGGTGGTGGGGTGGCCGGTGCCGGCTAGGCCGGACCTCTCTCCCCACAGCGTCCAGGAGAGCCATCCACCCCTCTCCCACCCTGCCAGGAAACCTCTGGAAAACAGGAGAGTCAAACTGTTGGCCAGGAGTCAGGCAGCAGATGACCCAAGCCAGCTGGGGATCCTGAGTTTCCTGGTCCTTTCACACCTGGGCTGTGTGTCCTTCCTCCTTCTCCCACTCACAAGGAATCCTGAGCCCCTGCTCACCACGTTCTAGAATCTTCGGGGAAGAGGGAGGATGTTATTACCTGCCAGAGGCGGGGCAGGGGGCTCAAATGATTTCTTAACGGCCCTCCCAATGACCAAAAGAAGAAAGCGAGGCTTGAATAGGTAAACGGAGGCTCAGACTTTGCCCCACACTCTTGCCCAAGGCTACATGATAAGGAAATGGTGGAACTGGGACTCCACTCTCTGCCTACCTGCGCCTGTGTCTGGCCCCACCCTCTGTCATTGCAGACTTTGCCACAGGTCCCAAAGCCACAAGACCCTATATTCTTTGTGCTGTGGGGGGGGGGGGGGGGGGGGGGGGGGGGGGGGGGGGCAGACCAGCCTCTGGGGCCCTGGGAAAGACTCCTTGGCAGCTCCCTCACCTAGGCTGGGAGGTGATGCCATTGGAAAGCAGGGCCCTGCTCTGTGGGTCCTTTGCCCCCTTGCTTGCATCATGAATCTTCTGGCAACGTGATGCCTCTCTCTGACTGCCAATATCAGGAGCTCCCCACTGGCGGTGGGGCCATACGCCCCTCCATGGCCCCAACACACCCACCAGGCCAATCGCAACCTTGCTGCTTGTGCTGGCTACGGGCCTGCAGGGATGTCACACGGAAAAGGCATCAAGCCCCCTGGTCACCAGGCCAGGGAACTGCCCCGGAGC